ATAAGTCCAGTATATAGAGTCTATGTCTCACAATTCTCCAGGATGCGTTTCGCCATATATTCTTCCTCAGCTGGATGAAAAAAAGTCTTGTGAATCCTCTTTGGACTGGTTCCTACTATATATACTCCTCTTAGGGGTGGATGTTTGATTTCAGGATTTGAATTTTCGCGGGCTATCACCATGGAAACGGTTACGCCCTGCGTTTCAAGCCTCTAGCTACTTCCGTGTTCATACTTTGGTGACGTCATTTCCTGTCCCTGCATTCCAGCATGCGGTTCAGCTGGGGTCTTTCTGCTTAATCTCATTTCCGGACCGGTGTGATTGTGAATGAGACGGGAAGAAATTATGTATCAGTATTTTTAAAATTACATCTGACATTCCACATTAAATCTTTCTAACGTTTCCTCTATGTTTCTTTTGCATGTCTAAGATTGCATTTAGATTTGCTCAGAAATGCTGGTACATATTCTTATTAACTCAAATAATAGAAACTTGTTTTAAACATACATGCATAGTTCTTTCAGTATTATGAATAAATATTTCCAAAGCACAGCTTGTATATTTTCATTATGCAAATTATTGTTATGAGAAAGATTATTTGATCCAATCATTTCTATTTAATCTCATTTTCGGACCGGCGTGGTCGTGAATGAGATGGGAAGAAATTATGTATCAGTATTTTAAAATTGTATCTAACATTCCACATTAAATCTTTCTGACGTTTCCTCGATGTCAGTATTTCTTTTGCATGTCTAGGGTTGCATTTAAGTTTGCTCAGAAATGATTTTCTGATTTTGTTTTTTCTCTGTATTTATATTTTTAAGGAACAACATATACATAACTATAAACAAAAAAAATAAAAAATAAAAATACATTTAAGTTAATAAATGAATAAAGATTATAAAGTCATATCATTGGGTCTATTAATTATTTAATATTTAAATCTATAGCCTCAAGAGGCAGCTCTAATCCTCACCCAGAATTTGGTGATATATTTATCATTCCCCTCCATCCCAGCATAAACTAAAAGCATTATAAAATATTTTTTGATATCCTAATATAAATCATTAATCATTAGTTAATTCATTATTTACTAGAATTTAATAAAATTAATTAAAAAAAGAAAAACATAAATAAAAAGGAAAAAGAGAAAAAAGAAAAGAGCGAGAGAGAGAGAAAAAAAGATTTGTTTTTTTTTAATTTGTACATACTCATATCTGGGCACACGTGTCTGATCTCTGTGCCCTTACTCAATGATCTGCTATGACATCCCTTTTTGACAAATAAACTGTCCACAGGTACCAAGTCTTGATATGTTTATCTCTATCTCCCAATAGTTCAGCCCGTAGTGCCTCGGTGGTCTGGATCTCTTCCACATTTGGTAGCCATTGTTCTATTGACAGTGTGGCTGTTTGCTTCCAAAGGGCAGGTATAAAGGATTTTGTTGCATTTATCAAATGTTGGAGTATCGACTTCTTGCATTTGGAGAGCGGTAATTGTGTTGCATGTAAAAGGGCATGGTCTATCTCGAATGGGGGTGCTTCTCCAAGGATATGAGCTAATTTAGCCCTAATCGCATCCCAAAATGGTGTGATAAGATGGCAACCCCACCATAAGTGTCTTACTGTACCGCATCTCTAGCACATATCCGATACCAAGTAAAATATTTTCTGCAATAATACCAGTGTTCTGTACCAAAATGAGAGTAATTTCTAATTAAGTTCTTGATATCTAGAACTTACAGAACTTTTATGGCATAAAATAAGAATTTTCACCCACTGTGAATCAGTAAAAGTTTTGTCTGTTAGTTCTGTCAAATGTCCCACAAGAAGATTCTGATAGATTGCAGATATCTTCCCCTCCATCCTTGGAACACCCATGCAGAGCTCCTCAAACCTTGTTAATTCCCGATGTATCTTTGACCGATTTGGGAGATTTAAATAGAAATATTGCAGCTGGGAATATCTAAAAATCTGCATAGTCGATGGAGAGGCATCACTTACCATTTCCTTCAAACTTTTCAATCTTGTCTTGCCTAGTACACTTATCATTGGAAAAAAATTCCTCGGCTCCAGCGAAGAACCAAGTTTTCGGGGTAAGACTGCCCCCAGACCTCTATTGAATGTCAGAGGTATCAAAGGGCTTGGTTTTGGTGAAATATTAGCATTGCGTATTGATCTTTAATGTCTGAGTGATCGGTGAATCTCTACTTAAAGTGGTAGTTGTGTGTGTTCTAGAATATCAGATCATTGTCTGTAAAGTTGCTACCCTACTGGTTTTATCCAGCAAGGTCTAGAGTTTTTGGTCTGTTTTCTAATGCCAGTCGCTAATTCTTTGAAGAATTGAAGCTTGGTAATACATTCTGAAGTCTGGAAGGGCTAAGCTCCCCTATGATTTTTGTAGGGACAAAATGTCATAGTGAATGCCTTTCGCCTTTCCAAACATAACATAATATTATAGTTTGTAAAGTAGAGAAGAACGCCATTGGAACCACTATAGGGATAGTTTAAAATAAAAATAAACGTGTGGGAGAAATATTCATTTTTACAACTGCCATTCTACCCTGCCTGGATATGAACGGGTAATACCAGCAATTTAAATCTATTTGTATTCTATCCAGTAATAGCCGAAAATTTTGCTGATAAAGCTCTCTTGGATTAGACGATAGTCTTAAGAATGAAGCATTCCCCACTAGGTGTGGATACATTCAGTACCTCACACTTGGAGAGGTTCAGTTTAAAACCCCAAAGAGTTCCATATGCTCTCACTTCTCTTAGAAGATTAGGTAAGGTAAAGCTAGGTTCTTCTACAAAAAAGATAAGATCATCTGCATACGCTGCTATTTGATGCTCCATTCCTTTCCAACAGAAGCCTTTTATGTCTGGATTAAGTTGCACATTTACCAGGAGAGGCTGTAGTGTGAGAGCAAATTATAATGGCGAGAGCGGGCACTCCTGTCTAGTACCATTATATATTTGAAAACTCTCCGTAAGTGTCCCCTTAACCCTTACTCTAGCAGTCAGGCTACTATAAAGTGCCTTTATCCAATTTAAACATTTCAGTCTTAATCTAATTTTATGTAATGTTGTCAACATAAAAGGCCAATTCAAACAGTCGAATGCCTTTTCGGGATCCATTGACAACAAAAGCAGAGGATTTTTCTTCCTTTTTAGCAAGATGTTGGATTGTAAACACTCTAAGATTGCTGTCTCATACTTCTCATCCAGGTATAAAACCTGTCTGGTCTGGGTGGACTAGTCTCAGTAGAAACTGCTGAATTCTAGATGCTAATATTTTAGATAAAAGCTTTATATCAACATTAAGGAGGTAGATTGGTCTATAGCTCCCACATACATCCTGGTCTTTACCTGGTTTAGGTATAATGGTTATTATTGCTGCGAGTTATTCATGGTGGAGCAAGCTTAGGAATCAGTATGGGTCCAAATTTGTTATAGTAGCTTACTGAGAATCTGTCTGGTCCAGGTGCTTTACCTAATATTGCATTTTTAATCGCTATCTGAACTTCTTCTTCAGTAATTGGGGCATCAAGTGAATCTGTCTCCCCTTTGGTGACTGAATCGTGAAATTGTTCCTCTGAGAAATTTCTTTTTCATCACTCATTAAGGCAGATCCCTTATCTGACTGAGGGATGTTATAAAGTTTTGAATAAAATTGTTTGAATTAATTTGCGATTTCATCTAGAGATTGGGTGATATTACCCAAATCAGTCTTTATTCTATTGACTTGATCTTGAGTTTGTTGTCCTCGTAGCATCTTTGCTAATAATTTCCCCTCCTTATTCGCATGCATATAGAAAAATCCTTTGGAGCGTTGCATGATCCTAAAATATTTCTTATTTAAAAGCTCTGCTAATTTCCTCCTATTCTCCAAGAGTTCTCTATTAGTTGCTTCCATCTGGGCCCGTTTATGCTGAGTTTGCAATTGAGATATGACATCTACTAGTTCATTAATTTGTTTTTGATTCTCCTTCTTTATATGTGTAGCCAGCTATATTAATCGGCCTCTTAATGTACTCTTATGCACTTCCCAGATTGTCATATCCAACATTCCTTCTGTGCAATTCTGGTCGAAATATTCCTGCAGATATTTCGATACTTGTACTACAATGTTCGGGTCGAACCATAGAGTGTCATTCAGTTTTCAGGGCCGGCTTAGTGGGCGGTATAAAGATGAATCCAACATTATTCATATTGGGAAATGATCTGACCAAGTCAAGGTATCTATTTCTTTTTTCCGTAGCTGTTTAAGTCCTTCTTGTTGGATGAAAAAATAATATATTCTAGAGTATTGGTGGTATACTGTTGAGTAATAAGTGTAATCTTTAACTCTTTAACAATCTGTCAATCTCAGATCTCAAAGAGCTCTACAAATACTTTGGATTGTTAACTGAGATATTCTACTATGTCCTTTAGAAGAATCCAATATATGATCCATAGGTCCATTAAAATCTCCCCTCAGGGGGGAGGAGCCTGACTGCCAAGCCGACCAGACATGTGGCACGCGGGCTGCGGCACTTTCAGCCACATATTGAGAAAGAAAACCAGACAATCAGCCTGTACATGGTGTACTGTGTTCCTATCAACCAGGAAGCAACCTGCTGAGCCGAAAGACTCCACACACGAATGATTCTGAGTCCGGGAGCCTACTTAAGAAGGAGCTAAGGAGAGGTGGCCGCTCTCCCTTCTCCAAAAGCTAAGCAATCTCGTCCAAGCTCCTACCCCCCCACCCCTATAGACCGGTGGGGGTGATCTGGTCTCCGCTGCCCTGAAACACAAAGGCAGGAAGATTTTGCCAGCAAGCAAAGGGACTCTGCCGATTCCAAGATGGCAGACGTGCCTCAATCTGAACCTTGGGACCTATCAAGGCTATCCGGCTATCTCAGCTACTCAACTACAACGCTGGAGGTTATATTTGCATGGTTCTGGACCAAACTAAGAGAATGCATGGCAACTTCCACCCACCTATCCGAAGAACCGGCAATGCAGACTCGTAAGAAGGTATGGGGAAGGCCCCCTCTGGCCATCAGCATCGAGCTCAAGCCTGTCTCCCCCACGGAATGCCCTCCTGGACAGTGGGCCACCAATGGCTTGCCCCGGAAACACCGTCCATGTAAGCGGAGGCCCACCGGCATGAAACGGCACCACTCCACCAGGTCCTCTCGCTACCCCGAACACCACCTAGCCACACTCACAAAAGCCACATTCACTACAATGAAAGACTCTCCCCAAAGCCTCTATGCGGAGTGTGCTGATGGCTCCTGATGGACACTCATACTGCCTGGCACCACAGAGACATTACTCCTGCCTCGCTTTAACACAGTACCCAGCGGTACACATACGCTGTCTATTCTATGCTATTTATCATAATCTAAAAACGTTTAACATATGTTTATGCCATGTAATCAGTCACATCAGCTTGAATTTTATATGTCTCTTTCTACCTGTCCCTCCTCTGATTACCTATCCTGTCTGCAAGTTGTAGCTATTACCTCAATGTTATCTCCAAAACTAAGCCTGAGGAATGCTGTTGGGGTACCTCAAGCCTGTCTGTACTTATCTTAAGCACTGCAAAAATACAAAATCAATAAAAAAAAAATTGCCACCCAGTATTAAAGTTCCCTCGATAAAAGATGATTTCCTAAGCGTTTTTCATTTGAATTATGCTTGGTTTCAATTTGGAGCATATATAGAAGCGAATGTGTATCTCCAATTAGCGACCCTTCTGTCAGGATAGTGGGGATCCTAAACACAGAATTTAACAAAAGCAGTAACGTACCTTAGAATAACCGGGTTGATGTTATGAAGATAGAGAATAAACAGGACAAGCCAAGGTCAGGGGAGCCAGAGATCAGAAAGAATGAAGGCACACAAGCCGAGTCAAAGGAACAATAGAAAGGAGAATAGTCAAGCAAGCCGAAGTCAAAAACCAGAAAATACAAATAAGTACAACAAGCTATTGGAACTATGAAGAACCACAACAGGGCAAGGAACCTAACTCAAGAACTTCCTTTTATACTGTGGCTGCATCTAGTTAGGATGATAGCTACGCCCCCAAAATGTCATTTGTCGGATGTTTTGGTGATCTGTGACGTCATTAGCGTCATTATGTTGATGCCCCTTTTTAGTGTCATAAAAAGGGGAGGAGCTATCGCGGCTGGTGCGAAAACGGCTGGTGGGAAAACGGCTGGAGACAGTCCCTACACAAAAGGGACCCTGACACCTTCATCCTCTATCCTCTCTCCTTTTCTCCAAGTTTCCCACAGTTATCTATACTCACACAAGTATAGTAAGGGGATGGAACTTCTTCCAACTGAGTAAAGAGAAAAAGGCTGTTGTGAGTATCTCCACAATTTCCACACTAGAATTATAATTACATATACGGATCTTACTGGTTGCAGCAGTGATTTTGCACAGAATGTGGATTATCATTTCTAAATTAGATTGAGCTTAGTCCACAAACTTTAATTCGGCTTGTGCGCCATATTTTAAGTGTAAATATAATTTGTGATAATCTAATAAAAATATGTATCTAAATTAACAAGTGAATATGCACTTTTATCCTAATTTTCCTAGCCTCTTAATTGATCCTCAAACATTCTGTAATGTGTTTAAATCCATAATACTATAATACAACTTTCCTTTCTCTTTCCTTTTTCTTTTCCTTTCCCTTCCTTCTCCTTTTTTCTTCTTATTTTTTGAGTTAACCATAAGACTCGTTCCAGTATTAACTCCTTCATTAACACAGGACAGTAAAAATAAAGCTCAGGTGTCATTGAATTAATGTTAACTTCAACTTCAGCTGATTTATCTGTGAGTGTCAGCTTTTCAGGCTCTGGATGATGTGGAGACGTTAACATGGTAGCCGATATAGAGTCACTTGACTCCTGTACTATCGCTGCGGTAGCTTGGAGGAATCCATCCATAGGGCCTTCTTGAATACCTGCTTGACTACCTCCGGGACAACGCTTCAATGTCTGGTGAGTCTCTTAGTGTTTTGTAGGAACCATTTGGCGTGGATACCGTGTAGTATAATGCAGTGAATAACTGTGTGGAACAGCGACGAGCAGAGAGTGAACCTAAGCCGCCATCAAAGAACATACCTGTAATGTTTCTTAAATACACCATGGACTATTGTCCATAAAACAATTTATGAAACCAGAAAAATTGATGGGAAAAAATAATCGATTTCCATAGATTTTCCAAATTTAGAATTTTTGCCTCATTTTGTCTCATTTTAAGACAAAACTTTTCCAAATTCCCAGACTCCTTGTTTTTGTTTTTTAGCTCATATATTTCGGCAGTGTTTATATAGCATGCTATTTGTTCTCTGCATTTGCATTTACCAGTTGGTCGGGGATAATAGAGGTTTCCATAGAACTTCCTTTGAAGCATTTTTTATATAAAATCATACCTGCAAGGATAAAGTCATTGCAAGATTGACAAAATCATCCAAGTAATATTATAACTGAATCATATGTCAAGTCAAATTTTCCAAATGAAGCACACACAAGATTATCAAATTATATTATACAGTACTGTCTCTGTGCAGTGTTTATCCTTGGTCAGCCTTATTTACTGGGTACAAATTGATTATTTTGCGATGTTGGTTGGACTAAATAGTTGTAATATAACATTTCAGTTGTTTCTTTAAATTGGACGCTTGATCATCTGATCAATAATTTTTTTGCTTGCCAGTTATGCTGAAACATAGAATAGAGAAACATTTTGTTCAATTCTTTATCAAAAAGTCATATAAATTTTATTTTAAGAAAATATGTAGCTTGTCTATTTCTAATGCACTTTTTGACAATGATTTATTTATAACACCACAGAAGGTTCTCAAATTATTAGGAGATTGGAGTTGGAGTTTTATTTCACACAACTGAATGGCGTCAAAATCTCAACACAAATCCATTTGAGTGATAGGAGTAATTGAAGGAGGTTCTCCAGATTGCTTGGCTTCTGGCTTTGCTCTAATAACTTTACTTGCTGCATAATAAAGTGAAACAATAAAGTAAGTTAAATATCTTATTTAAATACATTTAGTAGCTTTCTGTCCCTTGCTGTTTTTTCCTATTTATTAATTCATCACCAAAACAAATGTCTCTCAAGTTCATTTTCCAAGGATTGACATTGTTCTTTATAAACTCAAAACACAGAAGACAGCATCAGAAGTTATAAAAAAGAAGGAAGGAAGCAATGAGCACAAAGTGCAGGATTATATCCCATCCCTGCAGAAAACTGAATGCAAACTTTGTAGCATGAAAGAAATGATACCAAATCCAACTGCATTTATGGAGGGCACACGAATAAGCAGTAAATCCCGGTTGAAGATGCATGGTTGCCAACTGTCCCATTTTTGTTGGGACAGTTCTGGCAACCTGGAGTCTGTCCTGGCTAATTAACTCTCCCGGGACAGCCCCGGCAATTTGCAGGGCCACGTGCTTTTATTATTTTTCTTCGGACTGTCCGAGGGAGTTCAGGAGGGAGGTGCTCGAGGCTGTAGAGAGCTCCTATACGATGATGGGGGCTCAGGAGAGGGGCTGCGCGCTGGAGAGAGATGCTGGGGCTGGAGGGAGCAATGACAGTCTCCCTTCCGAATTCCCAGCAGCTTTCCGGACACACAGACTCCTGCTCCTCCTCGCGGCCGCAGACTCCGCCCCCACAGCACAAGCTCTGCCCACATAGCTCTGCCTCTGCTAAGCAGTAGACCTTGCTGCAGGAGGAAGAGGCCCAAGAACCTCCCAGCAACAGCCTCCAGTGCCAGGTGGGCTTGATATGCTCAGCCTTGTGTGTGTGTATATGTGCCTGCTAGTGAGAAAGCTTGTGTGTGTGTCAGTGAGCTTGTGTGTGTGTTTTTGTGTGTGTGTCAGTGAGCTTGTCTGTGGTGAGCTTGTGTTTGTCAGTAAGCTTGTAGTTAGTGAGCTTGTGTGCAGGGTCATCTTTCCGCATGGGCACGCTGGGCAGGTGCCCGGGGGCTCCACAAGCATGGGGGCCCCACCATGATGCCCATGCGCCCAGGCCGACAGAGGAGACCTGCTTTCTTGCTGTGGGATCACAGATCTCCCTCACCTGCCCAAAGGACCATCGTTAGTGATAGGGAGGGCGAGAGGATCTGGGAGGCAGAGCGCTCCTCCTGCGAGCATGTTATGCAGATCATTGCCACATGTTACCATGGCAATGCTCTGACACAGCATTCTGCTTGTGGAAGGAGTGAAGACAGCATGCAGCCAGAGGAGCTCTCAAACACACGCACAGCACCCATACACACAAACACATACACTGCACCGCTCACTACAGTGTGTGTATATTCAGCTGTCTGGGTGTATTCAGCAGTCTATGTGTGTGTATTCAGCAGTGCGTGTGTGTATTCAGCAGTCTGTATGTATTCAGCTATCTGTCTGTGTGTTTGTATAAAGCAGTGTGTGTGTATTCAGCAATCTGTGTGTGTGTATTCAGCAGTCTGTGTGTATTCAGCAGCCTGTGTGCATTCAACAGCCTGTGTGTGTGTGTGTATTCAGCAGTCTCTGTGCGTGTTTTTGTGTGTATGCATTCAGTGTGGTGTGTGTATATAGGTACTCAACAGTCTGTCTTTGTGTACTCAGCAGCCTGTCTGTGTGTACTCAGCTGTCTCTGTGTTTAGCAGTGGGTGTGTGCATGTATTCAGCAATGGGTGTATGCTTGTATTCAGCAGTCAGTGTGTGCATGGATTCAGCAGTCTGTGTGTGAATGTGTTTAGTAGTCTGTAACTGTATTCAGCAGTCTGTGTGTATGCATTGTACGTATGTATTGCATTTGTTGGAGGAACCAATAAATAAAGGCTTAATTTTATCTATAATTCTTGTCATATTTCTGCTTTGCTTGGGGCGCCCATAACGCTGTTAAGATGGTACTGCTTGTGTGTGTCAGTGAGATTCTATTTAGTGAGCATGTGTGTATCAGTGAACTTGTATTTAGTGAGCTTGTGTGTGTGTCACTGAGCTTGTCTGTTTGTGAACTAATGTATGTTCTATTGTATAGACACAACACTCTGACTGAAGCACTTCTGCACAAGGTCTTTCTATATTTGTACTTGTACTAACAGTGTCACCACTGATACCCAACTCACCGAAAAGTGATAAAATGTACCTGACTTATATAGATGCTGTGCTGTGAATGTATATATCGCATACTAAGTATGCATGGTACTGTAGGTGGGCACTTGGTGTTATAAAGGTCTACTCAATAAAGAGAGAATTGCAGGAAATTGAGATGGGAATTTC